AGATGGACACCAGCGACTATTCCCTCTATATTAGCCCCGAAGTTGGTTGGTGAGGTTGGTGTCGCAAAAGGTCTAATTACCGGGGTTCCTGGTCGCGTGCTTCTTGGAGGTCGGCATGAGACAGTCGGTCGCGTTCTCCTCAATGTGGGCGTACTGGAAGCTTACGTCCATCGTTAGACGCACCACATTAGCCCATGCACTGGCAGCCGAGTGCCACTACCGCCTCCATCGAGCGGTGATGGTAGCGCAGCGAGTTCTGCGGCAGTGCGCGCCACTCACCGGTCCTGTTCCCTCTTGTCACCAGCTGCGACGCCAGCTGCGCGCCTGTCCCTGAATGCCGCCGCGGTGGACTTCTGCTTGATCGACTCGCACACCATGCTCGTATAGGTGCAGCCCACCAGCTTACCGTCCTCCCACTTGGGCTTGGCATAGACAAGGGTAACCGGGGTGCCATCCGCCAGGAGGCCCAGAACGTGTTTGTTGTCTCGTTTACAGGTCTTGAGGAAGAGCTTAGTCGATCGCTTGGTAAAGATTCGCGGGCTGTACGCCGATCGCCTTAAGGGCTGCGTCTAGCGAACCCTGAATGTCCGTAAAGCCGTGGTAGCGGCAATTGTCCGGCTGGGTCTCATAAAGGGGGAACAGGTGCTTGCATCCATCTTGGGACGCATTGGTGAAGCTGTTCATATACGCTAGTCACCTTGTGTGCGTTGCTTGCTAGCTTGGACTTCTTGGTATCGAGGCGCTTGGTGTACATGCCAGACGCGATCTCCCGACCGATAGCTCCCCACCGGCAAAGTAAAAGTACTAAAAAGTACAGGATTACACTTAAAATACAGTGATTTAGTATTCCAATCTTAAAGTACATAAATGTACCGAAAAAAATGTACTTTTACTTTGCCACTGCCCTCGCACCCGTTTAAGATCCGTGGACGTGAGCTCGTCGTCGGCCAACTTGCATGGATGTGGTATCCAGTATAGGCCATAGGACACTTTGCTTGGACGAGGTATGGGCCACGTCCGCGTACTCGGCAGCCGACTCCTCCGTCAACTCTCCCAACCGACTATCCATGAGCTTGAAGATGGCACCAGTCCCGTCTCAGACAGCTCTCTGCTCGTACTCGTAGTTGGTCACACGAAACAGGGCCCTTTTCATCGCGTTGGACATGATATTGCAAGCGTGCATGGCAGCTCCAGCAGATAAGTATACTTGCAGCCACACTTGGTGCACTCCATGAGAGCTGGACGGTGCGCAGTGAAGTACTCAAGACGCACGAGGCGGCTTTTACTGATGATGGCACCACACGGGCCCCCCGCACCATCGCCACCGAAGGTTCGGGTGCTGTCCGGTAAACAGGAAAGCACATGCCTACGATCAGTTAGCTTAAAGGAGAATAGAAGAGTAGAGATCACGAGGAAAGGGGTAGAAAAAAGTAGCCTTGCTGGATGACTGTTAGCAAATAGAAAAAACGTCAAAGAGATGGGCTGTGTGACGGTACAGTACGTACTATCCATAGTTTGTCCGTTACACGTCCTTGGTGTACAGTACTTACTTCCCCTCACGACAGCCGTTACGCTCAGCAGCTGTTTGCGTGGCTCTGCTGGCACGGACTGCATCACTGCATGTCTGTCTGCTCTGCCCTGCTCTGCCCTGCTCTGTAATACGATTAAGCCACAGCCTAATCCGAAGACTTCACTTTGGGTCACAATAGCTATTGCCTTACGGGTGATTTTCCAGCTTATTTATCGATATTTTACAATCAGGATGGCGGAGTAGCAGGAGCAAAACCCACAGCAACGACAACGACAGGCTGGCGGATTCGACCGGAATCCCAGCCTCTCCTTTCGCTGGCGCTGAACCGGAGGTCTCTTCAGCAACGGCCTTCACCGCCGAACAGCTCGAGATGATGCACGACGCGGACGTTCTGCATCAACAGTGAATCGGAACACTGCTGGGACTCCTGAGCGCATTCTGCGCAGGGCCGACGGCAGAAGGATGGGACGAAGACGCAAATGCTACGGTCACGTTCATCCCCAAGTGCACGATGGAGCCGCTGACCGCGATGTGCTCGGTAACGGGGCGATAGTGCGCAAGAAGCTCGGAATTTGGTCAGAGGAACATCGCGAGCTACAAGACCAGCTCGCGGAGGTGACGAAAGAACGCGACTCCATCAAGATGGACGCCATCGTCAACGAGCAGGTCAGGCAGCTAGGCCTGCTGACCTCTCGTAAGCATACCGCAGTCGGCGGCTTCGGGATGCATACCCCGTTCGCCGCCGACCTGACACCCGTTCGTCATTCGGGGCGACATCGGCGACATCTGCGACTTCGGCGACTTCTGTGACATCGGTGATGATCCAGGGTCACACGAAGCGCCTATCCAACCCCCTCGCCAGCAACATGGCCCGCGCCTTAAGACAGTGGGGGATGACGGGGCAGTGCGAGTCGCGCTCCATACACCTGCCGGCGCTGATTGCGCTCGGCACGCAGAGGACCATCTTGGGTAGATTCCGCTTGCCCTACGAGCAGCCAGGTTTCCGCCCCGAGTTCCCAGAGGTACCGCGCGGAGACGTGGATTTGTTGCGGCTCAAGAAGCTCGCGGCCAGCCCCACCGACTGGTGGATATCGTGGCCGCTTCAAGTGTTCCTCGATGCGCTGGTGCGCGCGTTCCCGTCGGAACGCGACGGCACCAGCGCGATGAACAAGACATTGGAGGAGCTCCTGCTGGAGCAAAAAAATATTTACCCCGGCATCCATCCCCTCTAATGTGCAAAAAGATAAAACCCAGATGGGTTCGGTGCAAAAAGGTAAAATAACCAAAAAGAGGAGAAACGGGATCATACCCGTGACCTCTTGCACCCAAAGCAAGAATCATACCTCTAGACCATTCTTCCACGCATGAAACAATAGTGACATGCAGTGCATTTTTACCAAATCCAAGAGAATATGAAGAAATCATTCAGCTGTTCAGAGCGCGAGCCAAATTT